GGCGGGCTTCTGAGAGGAGCGGTGGCCCATGGAGAGAGGAGCCCAGGCTGGAGCAGGTTTGCTGGCAGGACTGGTGACCCTGGGGGGCCCAGGCTGGAGCAGGCTGCTCCTGAAGGATGGCACCCCACTGGGGGGACCCCACGCTGGAGTTGTTCATGAAGATCTGCAGCTGTGGAAAGGACTCATGTGGGACGAGTTGGTGGAGGACTGTCTCTCCTGGGAGGGACCCCAGGCTAGAGCAGGGGCAGAGCGTGAGGATCCTCTCCTGAGGAGGAAGGAGCAGCAGGGACAGCATGATGGACTGACCACAACCCCCATTCCCCTGCGTTGCTGGGGGGAGGATGGAGAGAAATGGGGAGCAAAGCTGAGCCTGGGAAGAAGGGAGGGGTGGGAGGAAGGGGTTTTAATATTTAGGTTTTATTTCTCATTACCTTACTTTGATTGATAATAAATTAATTTTCCCAAGATGAGTCTGTTTTGCCTACGACGGTAACCGCAGAGTGACCTCTCCCCGTCCGTGTCTGACCCACGAGCCTGTCATTATACTGTCTCTCCCCTGCCCAGCTGAGGAGGGCAGTGACACAGCAGCTTTGGGGGGCACCTGCACCCAGCCAGGGTCAGCCCGCATAAGTATTCATACACATGACTAATCCCTCTCTGAATCCTGTTAAGCTCTTTTCCCAGGTCATGGTGTATGACAGTTAGCTCGGAGATTCATGACCTGTTCCATAAAAAAGTGAAACCTTTTTAGTACTGTTGGCCTATTTTCTGATCTTAGCTATGTTCCTTTCATTTTAGAATAACTGTCTATAAATCAATGAATTTCTCTGATCGCATAACAGCAGACAATAGGTCAGATTTTGGCTCACTGCATTTTTAATTTAATTTGACATCAAGTAAGAAATAACATTTTACAGATCCCACCTTCACTATTCATTATTTTTAATGAATAGTGTCTGTGTCTTGTGCCCATTCTATAAAGAACTGTTGCCTTATTTTAATTTTTGAAACAGTCCAGGCTTCACATAATTTGCTTTTCAAAATCCTAGTGTACTCTATATACATGAAATAGTTATTGCAGATTCTCTTCTGTTGTGCTGGATCCCAGCTATCAGCATAGTTGAAACAAAAGGTATATGTTACACATGGAGGTGACAAACTGTTGAGTGGAAGTGGAAATATGGGCATCAAATGTCATCATTTATTTTATCCTTCATTACCACTCTTGCTCTTTCTTGAAGTATACCACAGCTGCAGAAAAAGAGTGGATCAGGTCAGTACAGAACTTAGAAATTGCTTTTGGTACCAGCAATTAATTAAGTAGAGGCTTAAGTAGAACTGAAATATGAAGTACATCAGCACTTGTGCAAAAAAAACCCTGGTTCACACCTCCAAACCATGTGGGACCAGCATTATGCACAAAGACGTGCTAGTGTTTAAGAGCTTAAGGTCTGATGACATCAATTTTGCAGTGAAGCTTGTATTTAAGGTCAGGTCTGAACACTTCTGCTTTCCAGCCCGACACCAGTTCACCAAACTGCCAGGAATCACCGTCTTGGTCACCAACAGAACACTCCTTTGAACTATTGCAAAACCTGTCTATGGCGCACTGCTGATGTTCAGTGGTACCTTCAGAGCACCTAGGAAAGCCGCCTCTTGTCCGGAAGCTTGTGGCCAGCAGGATGCAGCCAAGATTTGTCTATGAAACGAATTTTGATAGCAATTAACTGTAGTACAGTAGAATGTTTAAAATAGACACACATGCATTGCATTTTCTGGTTGTTATTGTCTATCTCCATCTACTGGCCATGAGGAGATGTGCGAGGACACATTGGGTGTATTTAGAGATGGGACTACTCTCTGTGCAGGGATGAAGCTTTGGAGCCTTATAACAGAAGTGCGGTTTATGTATAATTTTTATAAGGAATTATCACTTTCAACAAATTCATTCTATCTTAATCCTGGTGGGAGTTTACTGTTAGAAAATATGGAAGCTGGATGTTTGAAAACCTTTTTCAAATGCGATCTAATGAGCAGAGTGCCCCGCGCTAGGCGGGACTGAAGATGCTGGAGGACTTCAGAAGGACGTTGCATGACCTGCCAGAGGAAAGTGCTGGAAATAACATTGCCTGTGAGAGGGATGAGGTGGATAAAAAAAATTCCCTGACCCGATAAAGAAAGACTCCCTGGAAGCAGAATCTCCTGAGTTTGAGAAGGACTTTGAAGGATTTTTGTGCTGTCCTCTGCTCTCCCGCTTGCCCTTTCCCTGTGCCTGGGAGGTTATGATGGCAGCTGAACTAGTATTGTGAAAACACTGAGTGTCGCTTACCCTAAATACCTTCACAGTTTTCTCCTGCTCAGCCCTCACCTTCAAAACGAAGATGTTTGGGAATGAGGTACCACAGTAATTTTGAGATAGGGGGATCTTGACAAAGATGGCTTTTATGGTGGCTTGTAGATCACCTCAAAACTTTTCAAAATGTCAGCAGATATCTAATGCTAGCTTAAAGTGAGTGTAAAACTAGTTACAAGGCCACTGATGCTGCCTCTGATACTGCATGCTGAAGCTTTCTAGCCGCATTTCCGATGGAAGCGAAGCTCGAGTGATAGCTTGTGTGCACGTCTTTTTCAGTAACTTCAGCATCTCTTGAGGGATGCTCTGAATATTCTGAGACGATGAATCTAGGTCAAGGCCAAGGTGAGCGGGGGCTGGGCAAAGTCAAAGTTTGCAGATCTTCGCAAGTTTTCTTCTAATAGCTTTGTCATCCTCTAGTGAACCTGTAGAGTCAGAATTGCTGTTCTTACACTGTTCTTGGAGATACGTACAAAGGGGAGCAGGCAGTTTTGGGTTAATTAGGACTGGACTGGTTTCTGCCTCGTGGAGTGTTTCCCCTAAATTCTCATGGGTATAAAACAAAGCATGTTAAAGCCAGTGTTATCGATGTAGTCTATCTATTTATTATTGAATACAGCTCAGCTGTTGCAGAGGAAGTCTTTGATTTTATGGGCAGATCATCCTTGGGGCTTCATCCCGTTTCTCATCCTAAGCTGCCAAAGTAAATAGCTGAATGCTATTAAGGAAGAAACATGAGTGAACATTGGCTACGTCTGCCAAAAGGGATCAGCTCTGACAGACTCGGGGAAGAAGGGAGGGCTTCATACTGCCCTTAAGAACTTGTAACTTTAATGCACAGTTTGGGCATCAATGTGTTTGATACAATTTTAAATTCTGAATCTGTTTCTAGGCTTTTTTCTTGGAAGAAATGCTTAAATCAATTCTGCTGTCTAGTCCTGAAAAGGTACAAGGAGTTTTTTAACTTTCTTACTACTTTCTTTCCCTTCTAGATGCAATTTGCCTCCTATATCTGAGAAATACTTCACGGACGTTGGGGTAAAGACGGATGTTGTGACTGTCAATCCCAGCATAATTACTGAAAGGTCACTTCTGTTTGTTGGGTTTTTTTTTTTTTTGTTTTTTTTTGTTGTTGTTGTTGGTTTTTTTAATATTTTCATCTCCTACTGCTTTTCCAAATCTGCTTTTCGCCTAATTCTGTTACAGATTTTTTTTTTTCCCCAGCATTACTTTAAACTGACACTATGAATCATACATTTCATTCTGAAGTTATTCAGTATGTGGAATGTGTAACAACTTATAAAAATGCGTTAAACACTTAGACCTGCACATTGGTGACAGAAACTGGGAAACTGATGAGCTAGAATTGTAAAAACAGAGCCATCCTTCCCCTGGAAGTCTTGTGCCATCCGTTCAAGCCCCAGGAAAATGTCTCAGAAACATATAGTGTGGAAGAAACTGCATCAAACCCTAAATGCTTAAATAAAGTAACACACATTGTCATATGTTTTTAAAGAAATGTCAGTTAAACTTTGCAGCCAGGATTGACTGAGTGATTTTAAGTTTAGATTTGTTAGTACCTTAATGCCACCTTGCTGACAGGTTTGGGAGCATCGGTCTAATTATTGCTTTCCTTTCTTGTTGGGTGAATGCATTTCTTTTCTCAAGTAAGTTAAATTCATTTGCTTGCATTGTGGTTTTCTTTTGAATGTTACAGTTAGACATTTTAGAAATGTTTTTGCTCCGCTTTCATATTTGCTACTTTTCATACAGTTTTGCACTGCCTAATGCACTATACAGCTGAGCAAACTTGGGAAAAGGGGTGTAATTTTATTATATTTCTTATAATAAAATGCGAATTGTCAAATGTGTATTGCCAATAAAGGGGAGAATAAGTATTTTTTTAT